TATATATATATATATATATATATATATATATATATATATATATATATATATATATATATATATATATATATATATATATATATATATAGCAACGTTGAGCTGTCGACCACAAAACCCGTATAGTTACTTAGTGGCATGAGAGATCAAGTTACGTCTGATCTCATGACAGTTTTCCCTAGAGGACGGTCGTTCGAATCTTGCCGGCGGACACATATTTTAACATTTCTCGAATATTTAGGCCGTTGGATGTTTTCGGATTTTGAAATTTCAGATAAAGTATATTCAACATATATATATATATATATATATATATATATATATATATATATAAACATGAAAAAAAAACAAATTACATTTCTCTTGTTTGTCATATTCAAAGACAGGTTGCTGTTCAATATATATATATATATATATATATATATATATATATATATATATAGATATCAGTGATCAGTGGCGACTCTAGGTCATCAATATTTGTCAGGCTCATTACAATCTTTAACAAAATATACTTTTAGTATAATTTAGATGCTAAAACGATTCTTTAATCTAACATAAACGTATGATTATTAAATCTGTGCATGAAATTAAAACACAAACACACACATTTTGGTATTTTAATATTACTTCTAATACTTCTGTAAAAATAAAGATTCATTTTTAATTTTTTTCCAGAGATGTAAAATTTGAACCTTTTAAAACCCTTTATTCTACATTCACTTGATAAGACAATAGTAGTGTTGAAACAAAATGGCTATTTTTGTAGTGATTTTATAACATATTTGTTTTTCGGATAAATAATTATATATATATATATATATATATATATATATATATACACATATATATATATATATACATATATATATATATATATATATATATAGATAGATAGATAGATAGATAGATAGATAGATAGATAGATGAATGAATCCTTTTCTACGTCAGCTGATAAGAAAGTTGGTTCATTGTGTCGTGCGAGACAATTATTCACGACAGAATCTATCATACATATCTCTAATTCTATTCATCCTGGTCATGACAATAAACTACATCCAACAGCAAGGCCTCTGATCAGGTGGTTTTGAGGAGCGTGAAAACACCTTTTAATTGCTGGTCTTCCCAGGTCTACCCTTACCCGAGGTGGTAGCACCTGTTAGGGTCCCAGCTATGAGCAAATAGCTAACTCCCAAACTAGAGTCAAAACACTATGAAAGTGTAAAAAATAGGTTTTAATGCCAGAAGTACTATGTAAAAAATTATTACCAGCAATAAATTTTTGAAGGAAAAAGTTATTACCAGCAAAACATTATTACCAGCAATACATTTTTAGAAAAACAATATTACCAGCAATAGAGTTTTCAAAAGAAAAATATTACGAGCAATAAAAATTGTCGGCAATAAATAACCCATTGAGGCTGATATACCGTAAACTAAACCAAACAAAACTATAATTCTATACCTTCGACAATGCTTAGAATATTGCTGCCACATATGGTTAGGTACCCCTTCTATTTACCTTGAATACCTTGATAAAATTAAAAGAATAATCAGCAATATTATCGGTACTGGTCTGGCTGCTCGGATTCAGTCAATTTCCTATGCTAACAGTCTCCTTTCTCGCACCCTTCTAGTTGCATGCTTTCCAAACAACTTTAATCTGCTAAAATTTAAATGCAATGTCATTCACTGTCTACTGTCTTCCGGATTACACTTTTCTCTTCCCGCTCACTAGTAATGATTATGTCCTTAATTCTTCCACACCTTGTTTCTTAATGGCTTTAATGCCTTGCATGGGAGGGGTGAAACACACACACACACACACACACACACACACACATATATATATATATATATATATTACAATGAATCATCCATACAAAAAGTAGGTTAGTAAAGTTAATGATATAAAATGGCGAAAACAATTCGCAAACAAAATTTTAAAGTTGCATTAACCTACGTAGCACACGATGTATGTTATGAGCCTTGTTTTTAATAACTACAAGTTGTATAAGGCCTTTTTTTAATCTGCTAGTACTTTCAACTGTACATACAGTCATCCTCAGGCATGTAAATTATTTTTTTTAGTGATTCCAGGTAGCATTGGAGACGAAAGATTAAATGCGAATCGAAATATGTTTTTTTAGAAATGTGTTATTGTTAACGGATAAAAACTTTTGGAGCGTGCAGTCGCCACGCTAAGGTTGAATTTTTTTGAAAATTTAAGAGAGTGCGTTTTTTTTACTTATATGTTAATTTGAGATTGTTTTTGTTGTAGGAGTTTATCAGTCAATGTGGCACGAACTAAATTGTTCCATAAAGAGAGTAATGTCTCAGCTGTTATCCTAAAAATTTGCACGTCGGATCAATTCTTTTAAATCAAATATGTGGTGCTTCATACAAAAAGTTATGAATATGCACCATATATATATATATATATATATATATATATATATATATATATATATATATATATATAAATAGTGAACATACAAGTCAACATTAGTCTATGTTCTACCAGTCTATGTTCACTTTTACATTTACACACGCTCTATCTCTGATATTGGGGCACTTTATCCCATAAATATAGCACATCTTAAGACTATATTTCTTCATATACATATATATATAAACATGAAAAATTACTAAAAAAATAAATTACATTTCTCTTGTTTGTCATATTCAAAGACAGGTTGCTTCAAGTATATATATATATATATATATATATATATATATATATATATATATATATATATATATATAAGTAACGGAAATCTTAGTAATCTGTATGGATAATCCCAAGGAGGATGAAATCCTGAGAGCTCAATGTTAAGTCAGAGCGAATAATTTAATTTAAAGAAAAACAGACCACTTTAAAGCTCCATTTGTTATAATTTATTTCACCAGAGAATTTTATTTTTCGCTGGATCTTCAGACTTTTCATTCAAAGGTGAAACGGAAAATGAATTTAAAATTTACACTTTTGACCGTCAGTGTTAAGCTTATATAAGTTGACATAGAAGGTGGTGAGGAATGGTGTGAGAGACATGGTCGAGTTTAGAGAGGGAGGGAGAGTTTTCAAATTTATTCTTATATTTCTTTTTATTATAATACTTAATATTCAGGAAGGAGTGGGTAAAGATATATATATATATTATTCTTCCATCTGATAACAACTCGAATATAAGGATCTTATTATTCAAGGAATTGATAATAAGTTAATGTCTCATTAGGTTAGGTTAGCGAAGTGATTTCGCCATTAATCACTTTAATTTTGCCATTTAATTCTTTGTATAAATTGTTTCTTTATGATATAATATATATACACGATTTCCATAAAGTTCGTGAGCATTTTAAAAATTTATAACTTTATTTGTATTTGCAATAGAAATAATTTGTAAAAAGGATTAGAAAGAAGTAAATCTATATTTTTTGAAGGTTTTATTGAAATTTTATTTAAGTTTCCACATGCCCTCCATCATTAGCAATGCAAAGGGTAATACGATTTTGCAGTTCACGGAAAACATTTGCCAACTGATTTACAGTAATGCCTGAAATCACATTAGTTATTTTAGCTTTCAAATCTTGTAAGGAACTAGGTTTGGTTGCATACACAATTGTTTTCACATGTCCCCATAAAAAAAAATCTAATGGAATCAAATCTGGCGAACTTGGAGGCCAATAAAATGGTCCACCCCTTCCGATCCATCTGTTAGGAAATTCCTGATTTAGAAACTCTCTAAAACGCAGAGCAAAATGACAAGGAGTTCCAACTTGTTGAATCACTGTATTATAACATTTTTTGCAGATTATTTCTATCGCAAATACAAATAAAGTTATAAATTTTTAAAGTGCACACGAACTTTATGGACACTCTGTGTGTGTGTGTGTGTGTGTGTGTGTGTGTGTGTGTGTGTGTGTGTGTGTGTGTGTGTGTGTGTGTGTGACATAAGGTTCCCTTTGCCAGAAATAAATATTAGTAAGCTATCCTATTTTATTATATTCATTTGGGGAGTTTTGGGAACTATCTATACGTGCGTTTGTCCTTTGAAAATAGAAAGCCGTAGAAAGTAATTACAAAATTCCTTTTCTATAGAGCGTAAGAAAATGACTTCAGTATTAAGATGAACTGAATGCAAGGCTGGAGAGCGCTCTCAGAACAGGGAATTAATGATTAAATTGTCTTCATGAATCAGGTATGTGGTATGAACTGGGGTTAGGGAGTGTCATAAGAAGCGAAGATTATGATGTTAATTAGAGATAACGATTGAATCACAATTATCACGTTGTCGATGGCAGAAACAGTAAGGAAGCTGAAGAGCCTCTAGAGAAGGTAATCAAGGAAATCGAGAAGAAAGGACTAAATAATAATTGTAAGAAGACAGAATGCCTGTACTTTAGCAAATGGGACTGCCTACGAAGAAAGCTTCAAGATTGAAACGACGAAATGAAGTAAGGTTAATTCTATATCAAATCATGCAGAAAAATGGGAAGTTGTCACCCTTGCCTCACAGATTTTCTTAAAACTTTAACCACTGGTAGGTATCAATAAAAAAAAAAGACAATCCTGAAAATTTGAGCCTCTAATTCCAAGTGTTTCAGAAAATATACCGTTTTTAAGATTTTAACGTAAAAAACCTGTGATCAAGTGTTTTGATTAGTGAATTATTTTTCTTAATGTGACTATTTCTCGTGAGAGTGTTTTTGTTTCTTTACTGTTGTACAGTTTAGTATTTTATGACCATTTGACCTAATAAAAGCCTTAAAAAGACTAAGGCATGAAAATAGTGTCACTTTAGATACTCATTCATTTTGTCATACTGAAAAAACGGAGTGTATTCTGGAGAATAAGTATAAGGTCTATATACCAATAGCTGGAAAAAATGTCTATTTTCGATTGTTAATTGTGGGCCAACGATGAGAGAACAAGACTTCATTTTTGATTCCATTCGTTATTATAGCGTGGGGAACACTTTTTTTAAAAATACATTTTTATTCACCTATAATACCACATCATTCTTTCTCGAGATATTTCCCACATGTCAAAATTTACACAAATTGTTGTATAGCTCAAAAATCGTTAATTTCTAGGTACTCTCAGTATCATTTTTGGATTTCTCACCCTCAAAAGCTTTTCTGTTCAAATTTTCATGGCCCTAGAATATCTCAATGGAATTTTATTAAAGAAAAAGGGATTTTGTAATGCTGCGGTTTTCTCGCAAATTCACGCGAGATATTAAAAAAATGGCATATTTTCTGAATTGCTTGGACTTAGAGGCTCAAATTGTCAGGAATGTCTTCTTTTAATGATATTTACCACTGGTTAAAACTATAAGAAATCCGTGAGGTAAGATTGATATATTCTGGATGATTTGATATGGATTTAAAAAGGTAACTATTTGTTAAGTAGCATTTCATCATTTGTGAAGTCATTTGTTTACATTTGATACGCCATGAGCAGACATGAATGTACGTGAGAGATTCTTGGAAGATTGGAGTTTAAATACAGTAAATTAGACCTTGCTAACCGAACGCGCCTCTGTGGCCAAATCGGTAAAGGCACGTCAAGCTAAATGATGGTTTTGTATAGGATACAGGTTCGAATCCGGTCGGAGGACGAATATTATCTGTGAAAATTTCTTGGACATTCAGGCTGGTAAATGTTGTTTTATACTGTTTATTATAAACAGATCATTTACTTAAAATATTAGTATCTATAAAAATAATGTATAAACATAAAAATGTCTTAATATATATATATATAAGGGACTACTGTGTGTGAAAGAATATGAGAATCATACATCAAGCTATTTCAAGTGTTAAATGATGAGACCTTGCCGCCATGTGTAAAATGATGAGACCTTGCCGCTAATCTAGTACTGCGCTTAAATTCATTAAGTAGGAAAATGACTGAGGTTGGGATGCCAGGTCAGGACAAATAACATTGCAGATTCTTCTTTGGATTTTATCAAGCATCTCTAAACATATAGCAGAAGTACCATAGCAGATGTGGCAAGAATATTCAAATCATAGGCGAATGCTAATGTTATAATTAGACGAATGACATGGATGAATTTTAGACTTTATGTTCCATGAACATGTAAGTTAGATATTGGCGAGAAAAAATTGTCACGCACGACACAGTCTATCGACTTTCGTAATAACTGATTCAATATAACATTCCACATAATGTCAACGGAAAACATTAAACAGAGAAGACGCAATAAGTGAATATATTGTAAAATAAGTTAGCATACTGAAAAATAATGAAAGCTTGTTCGAATGAACAACGCAAAGTAATTATCAACTCTGCAAACACAAGAAAAAAATCGAAACAAGATAAAAACAATTGTTATCGGTTATAGAAACCAAAATCGATAAACGAATAACTGGGGGAAAAAAAACATCTTTATTAAAGACTAAAACACCCAAGAACATGGATAAACTACTTGCAATATAATTTCATCTAGCAACATGAATTATACAAAAATATATACAAGATGGCACCTGCATTTGTATTTATAAATTTCGGACCCGTAAATTTCCCCTGTATATAAGGTGAAATTTACGCTGTATATAAAAGGAAATTGACCGTGTATATAAGAGATTTTCCGTGCATGAAAGTGTTGAAACTTGAATAAAGCATGGAATAATAATACAACACAAAATGTACTTAAACAAAATGTATTGACACAAGAACGTGTACACAATATTTACAGTTAGTTTTGGTATATTCTTGGGAAGACCGTTCCTGTAGAATGGGTTGACTTAGTCGCAGTCGGGCAGAGTCTCTGGATTGGATCTCTCCTTCCTCACACTCGTCTTCCCGGTACCAACCCATATTTATATGGTCGGTACTCCACTATGTAAATTAGGTGGATCGTACCACAACAGAAAGAGAAAAATTGTCCAGTATATAATAGAAGATTTTCCATGTATATAACAGGAAATTTACTCTGTATATAAAAGATTAACCCTGCATATAAGAGTATTAGCCTGAATATAAAAGGAAATTTACCATGTTTATAAGACATTTACCCTGCATATAAGAGATTTAGCCAGAATAGAAGAGATTTGCCCTGTATATAAAAGAAAATTTAAGCTGTATATAAGAGATTTACTCTCCGTATAAGAGTTTTACCCTGTATATTAAAGGAAATCTACCCTGTATATAAGCGATGTAGCCTGCACATAAGAGTTTTACCCTGTATGTAAAACGATATGTTCCCTGTATATAGAAATCTAACCGACATATAAGAGTTTTACACTATATATGAAAGGAAATTTACACTGTATATAAGAGATTTGCGCTGTAATAAGAGATTTACCCTATATATGAAAGGGAATTTACACTGTATATAAAAGATTAACCCTATATATGAAAGGAAATGTACCCTGTATATAAGAGATTTACCCTGTATATGAAAGGAAGTTTTCCCTGTATATAAGAGATTTACCCTATATATAAGAGATTTACCCTGTATATGAAAGGAAATTTACCCTGTATATAAGCAATTTACCCTGTATATAGGAGTTTTACCCTATATATGAAAGGAAATTTACCCCGTGTATAAGAGATTTAACCTATATATGAAAGGAAATTTAACATGTATATAAGAGTTTTACCCTGCATATAAGAGTTGTATCCTATATATGATAAGAAATCTACCCTGTATATAAGCGATTTACCCTGCATATAAGAGTTATACCCTGTATATAAAAGGAAATTTAGCCTGTATATAAGAGAATTACTCTGCATATAAGGGTTTTACGCTGTATATGAAAGGGAAATTTGCCCTATATATAAGAGATTTACCCTATATATGAAAGGAAATTTACCATGTATATAAGAGTTTTACCCTGTATATGAAAAGAAATTTACCATGTATATAAGAGATTTAACCTGTTTATAAGAGATTTACCTATATATGAAACGAAATTTACACTGTAAATAAGAGATTTACTATGTATATAAGAGATTTACCATATATATGAAAGGAAATATACCCTGTATACAAGAAATTTATCCTGTATATAAGAGATTTATCCTATATATGAAAGGAAATTTATCCTGTATATAAGAGATTTACCCATCATATAAGACTTTTACCAATGTATATAAAAAGAAATTTACCCTGTATATAAGAGTTTTACCCTATATTATGAAAGGAAACTTACCCTGTATATAAGAGATTTACCCTCCATATAAGAGTTTTACCCTGTATATAAAAGGAAATTTAGCCTGTATATAAGAGATTTACCCTATATATGAAAGGAAATTTACCCTGTATACAAGAGATTTATCCTGTATATGAAAGGAAATTTATCCTGTATATAAGAGTTTTACCCTATATATGAATGGATATTTACGCTGGATATAAGAGATTTACCCTGTATATAAAAGGAATTTTACGCTGTATATAAGAGATTTACCCTATATATGAAAGGAAATTTACACTGTATATATGAGATTTACCCTGCATATAAGAGATTTACCCTGTATATGAAAGGAAATTTACCCTGTATATAAGAGATTTACCCTGCATATAATAGTTTTACCCTGTATATGAAAGGCAATTTACCCTGTATATAAGTGATTTACCCTATATATGAAAGGAAATTTACCCTGTTTATAAGACATTTACCCTGTATATAAGACATTTACCCTATATATGAAAGGAAATTTACCCTGTATATAAAAGATTTACCCTGTATATAAGACATTTACCCTATGTATGAACGGAAATTTACCCTGTATATAAAAGATTTACCCTGTATATAAGACATTTACCCTATGTATGAACGGAAATTTACCCTCTACCTAAGAGGAGATTTAGGGCGATAAGTCTTACTTCAGCAAGCGCAGAATAAAATAATTATTATATATTTTAGATTCCTTAAACGTCATTTTTAGTGGATACACGTTTTCGAGTAGATGTTCCGTTTATTTATTAAAGAATATTTTATTTATTTCTGTCTACCTGCTTGAATATTCGAGAAATCTTATTAGAGAAAAATGTGCTCTCTCCATCAGGATTCGAACCTGCGTTACCCTTGATGGAACCGTCATTAGGTCTGACATGATTTGAGATCACAGGTACAGAGTAAACGGAACAGTGCCTTTAAACGCAGATTTTCCTCTCACTCTTAAAATAGCCATATTTACTCAGTTTCTTAATATAACGTAAACAAAGACAATTTAATAAATAAACGGTGCGTCTACACGAATACGATTATCCACTAAAAATGATGTTTAAATAATAGAAATCTGTCTGATTAATAAATAAAACACCATGTATTTTATATATATTCAAACATTTTGTACACTATATCTCATATCCGGAATACCTCATATCCGGAGAGCCTCATATCCAGAATCTCGCATATCCGGACATGATATTCATGTGTATATTTGAACTATTTGGGTGATATGTAACTGATTTGAAATTTCTGTCTTTCAGGAAATTTACTTTGGATAATTGCTTATGCTTATTTCACCCTAATGGCTTGTATTTGGTGCAAAAGATGATGGGAATAAGAGGAAAGGATGACAACGAGACACATCTGCAACAAGATAGCGACAAGATGCATGACTGTGATGAAACCTGGATTGAAAGTGAAAAAGCTATTGAAAAGGTGGTCAGTTTTATGGAAAGAAAACCAGCATTCGGCTATGACGATTGCAGTAACGCACGCAGAGTTAAAAAAAAAAAAAGTATTTCGTTTAAAAAAATCAAGGACAAAAGCCAAATGAAATGAGGAAAAAGTTGAGAATGACATTAGAAGATAAAGAATCATGCAACAGAGATTAAAAAAATCCTCGTTACATTATTTGTTTTGCATACGTGGCATACTTAATTTAAGGAATTTTCATTAAAATTACATCATTTATTTCTTTTTCCTTAAAATCAATTCCGTTATATTTCACTCACCATTAGCTTATTTTGTTTGCTGTAAAACATTGAAAATAAATGTTAAACCTGATTTCAGTTCTTTTATTTTAATCTAAATATAACC